ACTGTGGAACCGGTGGGCGGTTAGAAAATTTTACTACTAACAGAGATACAAAAGTGGGCGGTAGGTATAGAAAGGTTGACTACCCCTGTTGTAAACAATTTGGAAAATACTTTATAGTAGAATGCTGTAAATCATTTTTCAATTTTGAAAGCTGAATTTCCCTTCCAACCTACTATTATTTTATTTAATATTAGTGAACTATACTCCTGCAAAAATATATTGGGTTTGTACATGGGAAAATGCTACAAGGATATTTTGTGGTTCCTATTGGAAAGTAGGCACAGTTTCTTCTGTTGAAGAACAACTAATTAACTTCCAGTACTGCTGCTCCATGTTCAAAATAACTTTGTATTTCAAAAGTAAACCTGACATAGAATTTAAATTACGTTGGAAATTGATTTTGGATTACAGATCTGAATACAGATTTTGTTGGAATTACATCCAAAATGGGAATATCTTTGAACATAAATTCTTTGTTTGAATAGGAACTACTGTTGTTCTTAATGTTACATATTTTATACTGTCCTATTGTTTTTGATATTCATTATTACTTGGCATTTAACAATCATTTATAATTTTTAGAATAATGCAGTATATTCACTTATTTAAAATGAATGAAATATTGGAAATGTTAACCTAATTTAATAATGCTGATAAATTCCATTTCATCAGTTGATGTTTTAATTTTAATTTTCTTTTTTGCTCCCCTCTTTCTCCATTACTTTGTTTGTATTTTTTTTCCTTTTTCTTTGCCTATATAAAAATGTAGTAAAATAAAAATACTTAATTCTGTAATTCACTTAATGGTCCAACTTGATATAAAGAACTTTCTGATGTGTTTTTTTCTCCCCATTAATTTTAGCCATTTGTTTATTTTTGTTATATACATTATTAAGAGCAGTTCTGTTTTGTATTAGTTTTATTAAAACAATAAAAAGTTTCATGGTTTCCTCCTTTTCTTAAAGTTTATTCTCCAGATATGCCTTCTCGGCTGCCAATCCAAGATATATTTGCAGGATTGGTTACAAGTATTGGCACAGCAATACGATACTGGTTTCACTATACTCTTGTGGCCTTTGCATGGTTAGGAGTTGTACCTCTTACAGCATGTAAGTATGTAATACAATACGCCTTCCATCGTTTCAAGGTCGGTAAAATGAGGACCCAGATTGTTGGGAGCAATAGGCTGATTCTGTAAACCGCTTAGACAGGGCTGGAAAGCACTCTGAAGCGGTATATAAGTCTAAGTGCTATTGCTATCACTGTACGTTACAGAAAAGGCAGTTGCTAGAGTTGCATGCACAATTCTTCAAAGATTACTCTATATAGCTTCAAGTGTTACTAATGCTTGCACAAAGAACAGGGCCACACTTAAATGTGTTAAGCTGCTTTCTAAAGCATTCCAGAATATTGTTTACTCTGTGTTTTTGGTAGTTATGCTAAAATCATAAATAGTGGTGGAAAAGACTATCTTTATCTATATTTTAGGGTTTTTAATCCCGTCTTTATTATTTTTAAAAATAACTCAAGGTAGCGAACATATCTAATACTTCTTCCTCCTCCTATTTCCCCCGCAACAACCCTGAAGATGAGATGGGTTGAAAAGAGAATGACTGTCTCAAAGTTACCCAGCCGGTTTTCATGCCTAAGGCGCAATTAGAACTCAGCGTTTCTGGTTTCTAACCAGGTGCCTTAAGCACTAGACCAAACTGAGAAAGCAGCACGTTGTGATGCTAATCTTAGTTTTTATGTTTTGATTTATCTATCTTTATATAGAGCAGCTTAATCCCCTGTATACTAGTTATATGAAGGTTTCATTTTTATATATTACGTGTTGTCCCAGAAACTTCAACGGCAATTTTCTATTGTTAATTGGGTAATAAAAAACAAAACCTTAAATGGATTAAGTTACTGGGTGGATAGTCCGACATGATTCAAATTTCTGTAAGTATCTTAAGTGTTTAGTTTTGGAACATGACTCAATCCAAATCTAAAGGGTTAAAGGTTGCTGCGTGGGGAAACATATGTATTGCTCTTTTTAGCTTGAATTGGTTCATTTCCTCAGATAGGCTGTGAGATTTGCCAGTTAGTATTGGTTAAGATAACCCTGAAGAAGCTGCCAAATATGCTCTTATCAGTTATATTTTGATAACGTTCACCAGGAATTGTATTTACTTTCTTTTTTAGGCCGTATCTACAAGTGCTTGTTTACTGGCTCTGTGAGCTCACTATTGACGTTGCCATTAGATATGTTATCAACGTAAGTATTAACAATATATATATATATATATATATATATATATATAT